ATGTTTAGTGCTTGGATATTCCTCTTAAGGAGTGGTTCGGAAGGCTCTTTGCTTTGGCCTTTAATCAAGATGCTCGAGTAAGTGAATAATGGGATCCGGGGGGGGGGGGGGGGATGTAATTTTCATTGGCGTCGGGGGATTAGAGGAGGGGCCAATGAAAATTACATCCCTCCGGATCCCATTATTCACTTACTCGAGCATCTTGATTAAAGGCTAAAATAAAGAGCCTCCCGAACCGCTCCCTAAGAGGAATATTCAAGCACCAAACATCCTTCTACAAGATAATCAAATTGGGTCGATTCAGCCCCTCGTCTAATCCCCCGACGCCAATGAAAATTACATCCCCCCGGATACTATTATTCACTTACTCGAGCATCTTGATTAAAGGCCAAAGCAAAGAGCCTCCCGAACCGCTCCTTAAGAGGAATATCCAAACACCAAACATCCTTCTAGAACCTTGTTTGAGTCTCATCCCCCACCACTCTATACATGTAATTAGAAGGAATACAACCATTCTCATGGAGATGATTAATGGATCCTACAATCTTTTGCCAAACACCCCCTCCAATTCCTATTCTCGAATCGTCCGAAAAACCACCACCTTCCCCATGACAAAATTTGACAATTTTAACCCGAAGAGCTCCATTGTCATTAGGAAACCGGCACTTCCATTTATAAAGAAGGCCGAGGTTAAAAACATCCAAACTACTAACCCTAAGGCCTATAAGTTTCTTATTTAAAAAGTAAAAATTTATTATAGGGGTTTATAGTTTCATAGGATAATGACTTAGGAGGGTAATAACGTTTTCCGTTTGTCCATATTAGGTCCCCAACGTATTTTTTGTGTATATTACACCATTAAGGTTGTTATAACCGTTTATAAATAATCATTTTACCGACTTCTTCCTGTTAAAAGGACTATTTGTAAACGGTTATAATAACTTTTATACTGTAATACGTACAAAAAATACATTAAGGACCTAAAATAGACAAACATAAAACTTTATTACCCTCCTAAATCATTATCTCGTTTTTTATGTGTTCTACATAAGTTCAGACATTAATATTCCCGTTTATGAATTTATTTATACAAGAATGAAATCTTATATACTCAGGAATAACAATTACTATTTCTACTTTGTTGACTCCGTCCATACCAATTGATGTTAGAGACTCTTTCAGAATTTAAAAAATAGTAAAAAAAAAGTTAATTATTGAAATTAAAAAGTTAAGAAGGAAGAGTAAAAGGTAAAAGATTTGACTTACTAATTATACTTCCTACCAAACATACAAAATAATCACATCCCACTTTTTTGTTTTCCTTCGTATAATGTTCAATGTTGGATGGACGACTTATATCTCTATTTAAATGAGAAAATAATTTTAGAGGTAATTATTTTTTTATCTTGTTCACGTTTACGTAATTTTATTTTTTACTTACACATTTAACCATTTAACTTATTAAATATGTTTATATATTACCATTGTCATCTGTTATAATAGATGATAATGGTAATATGTAAGCAAATTAACAAGTTAAATTGTTAAATATGTACAGAAAAATTTTTTTATCTAAATGTGAGCAATTTTTTTACAAATTTCTTAAAAAAATTTATAATTTCTTACAATATTTTTATAATACTTTTTTCTATATGTTTTTCTTGATATAATTTTTTAAACTTTGTTTATAATTTTTTTTATTTTATTTTATAATTTCATATAGTTTTAATACCAGTGTTTTTAAACTATAATATATATATATATATATATATATATATATATATATATATATATATATAGAGAGAGAGAGAGAGAGAGAGCTAGGTTCAAATGTTTTTCTCAAGTATTGTGTGCCTAAATGCACCAATGAGAATTCAAGAAATAATAAACAATTAAATAAATCATTTAAGGGTATTTTGGACCTTTTATACTTTTAATTAAGGAAATCATTTAATTAAATCTTGCAATTAAGGAAATAGAATAAGTATATTTGACCTAGCCTCTCTCTTAAATCGTGTCTAATAAAACCTCCAGAATCCTCAAACCTTTTTCACTCCTAGTTCACCAACCGGAAGATGCGATTGAAAAATTCTTCAATGGCGGAAGATGCGAAGGAAGGCACTCAACGGTTCTTCGTTCCTCTCCCGTCGTCGGCAGCAAAGAAGATCAAGGGGAAGATCCCCCTGTGCTCATCTTCGTCGGATTAAGGAGGAGAAACACGATTGGAATCAGAAATCGGGAAGCACTTCCATTGATTCACCGATTCGAAGGAGGAGGATGAGGAAAATATTGATTCCATGAAATCCTTTATCGCTAATCGAGTCATCTGTCATCAAAATCGATTCTAATCTTATTAATTGATTTTGTGTTTGAACTAAATCAATCTGTTGAACATAAATCGGGGAAAAGCAACAGCAACAGATGGCAGTGAAGAGGTTCTCGGTGCCTGTTGTGGAGTCTACAAAAGAAGGTGAAAACAAAGGCAACAGTGGATTTTAGGTCGTCAACGACACCACCAAGAAACTGAATTGGTATGCTCTTGTACTAATCATAACATGTTTTTTTTAGTTGTATCTCGAGTTCTTGACCACCAAGAAACTGAATTGATAAGACTCTCACTAATTGTTTTTGAAGAAATTGAAGAAGCACACCAAGTGTTCGATAAAATGCATAGTTGAAATCTAGGTTTTTTTACTGGTTATGATCATGTTATTTGGTGTAAAAATAAACCATTTGTTAATTGTTAGTAAGAATTTCAATTGGAATTCAGATACTTGTGTAAATGAATTTCAATGTCTGCCACATTCTATTAGAATTGTTAATTGTTTATATGCATTATGATAGAATTTTAGTTAATTGTTTATATGTATTTTGATAGAATTTCAATGTCTGCGACATTCTATTAGAATGGTTGTATTGTGTACTTTAGAATTTATAGTATGTTTTTTTAGTTACAGCTTAAATGAATCATTCTTGCAGAATGTCTTTCAGAATGATGTTAGTAACAATCATCAATTTGATGCCTATTATTCACAAAAGATTTTTAAAAGAATGTTATTTAAGTGCATTTTGTAATGTTTTCTGTCAGAATTTATTTATATAAATGTATTCTATTAGAATGTCTTTACGAATGTTTGTTAACTAGTATATTTGTTTAACGGGTAATACTAACGAGTAATGTATCTTATTCTTTCAGAATTGTGTAGAAAAGGAATTCAATATTGATTATACAAGAAAAATATTTGGAATCGAGTTCAACAACAAGTATATATGCGAAGATCAAGTGGATTATACGAACCATTGAAGAAGATCAAGTGTATCTGTTCAATAATTGTATATTCAAGAATGCTATTTTTTAAGAATTTTATTCATCTTTGATGATATTCTTTTAGAATATGTATAACTATTTTAAATGTATAAGGATATTAGTCTCTACGAATATGAATGAATTTGTTTTTTATGTCTCAAATCAAATATTTGCATTGGAAATATATTTTGCAAGAATAAAATCGAAAATATATTTACTAGTTTATGGTTTGCATTCTATCATTCTAACAAAACAATATTCTATTAGAATAAAATTCTGAAAGAGCATCATTTAAACAAAAAATATTCTGACAGAATAAAATTGGTAAAAAATTGAAATTGAATTAATTAAAAAATTCAGATTTTTTTTAAATTAGGATAATTAATCATCCCTAAAAATCCGAAAATTTCCTTTTATAAATGTAGTTAATTATCCAAAATACCCTTTTGCTTAAAATTGTGTGATTATATGCTACATGTTACCCCATTGTAATATCATACACTCTCAAATCATATCCATTGGTTAATTTCATCCATTGGTCCAGATCTGTGCATTCTGGTACACAATACTTAGTAAAAACAAAATAACCTAACCCTATATATATATATATATATATATATATATATATATATAAAAGAGGCTATATAAAATATTTCACAAAATAAAAAAATATTTTTAATTAAAAAGTAAAGTTTAAAATTGATCAATATTTAAGAAATTATGAATATTTTAAGAATAACGTTTGAAAAATATAAAACAAAAAATATGAAAAATAAAACCACTATTAAAAGTGGAGAAAATGATTTATCAGGATAATTAACTTTTTGTTTTGTTCACATTTAGATAATTTTCTTATTTCTGTATACATTTAAACATTTAACTTGTTATATTTGTTCACATATTGACATTGTCACCGACGGTTGGTGACAATGTCAATATGTGAACAAATATAACAAGTTAAATGGTCAAATGTATACAAAAATAAAGAAGTTACCTAAATGTGAACAAAACTACAAAGATGATTACCATTCGTAAGAATCAACTCTGATAAATGTTTTATTATAAATGCTTTTCAATGTGTAAACCAAGTTACAGATGTGTTTTTAACTATATTGAAAATAAAATTTTTGGTCTTGAATTTTGGGGTGTTACACAAATCCTTTCACATCCTAAAAATAATCCCTTGAAAAAATAACCATATCTACTCATACTGAGGCCTGAAGTCTCGAGATGGTCTGACTCCCTGGCAGACTGCCCATATTGAACCATTGTTGGATCCATCCCACTTAATTTCCCAGTTGACTACTAGACTTCTGATACTTGAGATTCCCATTAGAAGACTTAATCATAGACCAATTATCCCAGCTGACTACTCGACTTCTGGCACTATGCGATGGATTGTCGCCAGTTAGCCCCAGTTCAAGACATGAGGATTTGTTATCATTGCCATCAGGTTGGTCACGTGAGGACCAACTGTCCACAACTAGTTGCAAGACCGGTGCAGGCTCCGGTGCCGGCTAGATTGAGGATTACTGGCGAGGGTCAGGGTGGAGCAGAGCCTTCGAGGGCTCAGGGATGTGCCTTCCAGCTTACAAAAATGGAGACCAGAGATAGCGCCAGATGCGGCTGCTGATATGTTTCTATCTTTTATTGATTATGATGATATTGTGAATTCTCTTCCGTCCCCTTTTGCATATATATCATATCAACATAGGAGAGTTTGGGGAATTTAGTATTGAGAGGTTATACTCAGTTAGTATCTAGGGATGTTAGTGATCAGAAGTTAGGATATATGATATCTATTCCAGGGCTAGTAGCTGTAAGTGGAGATGCCGAAGTGTTCAGTTGAGACTCGGGTTTCTTTTGAAGTTTAGTTGCACCATGATAGAAGGTTTGTTCTTTGTAGGTTGCTCATCCTAGGGTTAATCGATCCATGGATAAAGATGATAATACCCAGTATGGATGGATAAGATGTGGAGGTTTCGCCATCAGTAGATAGTGGCTAGTGTCCCAAGTGGAGGAGAATTGAAATTATCATATGAGGCAGCGATCATTGAGGGTTCTGTTAGAAGCCAGGGGTTAGATAGTACTTTCAACAGGTATGCGGGTTACATAGCGCATGTGGTAGGTGCGCAGGTCAGGGATCAGGTCACGACTGTTCAAGTGGGTGGACTATCAACATGAGGCCTAGGGTTAGGCCAAAGTTATGGTCCGCGGAATTGGTCCGAAGTTCGGAACCCCAAGTGGGTGAGAACAGTCTGCATGGGAAGGGTCACCGAGAAGGGAGTGGCCCAGGGTGATGCTCAACAGCTTAGAGCGGTTCGGATAGACTGAAGGCCGGTGGGGCATACCAGTCAGGCCGAAGGCTCGGAGGATGGTCCAGACAGGCTGAAGGCCCAGAAGGGCGGTCCAGACATGCTGAAGGTTCAAAGAGTGGTCCAGATAGACAGAAGGCCTAGTGAGGCGGTCCCATCATGCTGAAGACTCTGTATGTATGGTAGATCATTGTGTGGGTTTAGTTGGTCATAAGATCAAGTTCTGACTATATCTATATGTTATGGTGTATCAACTTGTTCTACAAGTGGATATTGTGGAGTAAGAGGCGGTCCTGCTATATGCAGTAGGCCAAGATACCGGGTGCGGACTGAAGGAGAGTCGTAGGCACGAAAGGTTCAAGAGAAAAGTAGAGTTGGGGTAGAGGGTTGGCGGACCAGGATGGTCTGGTTAGATTGAAGGCCTGGTAAGGCGGTCCAGTCAGGTCAACACCCGACGAGCGGTCCGGGAAGGCTGTAGACCTTGGAAGGCGGTCCAGTCATGCCGAAGGCTCGGTGTACCCTAGTTTAGTAATCTATGGAAGCATTAATTGTCATAGCAACGGGTAATCTGCATTTCTATTTCTGGTCGGAAACCTTGAATTATCAAGAGTTGTTTGATCAGTCTAAGGGATAAGTGGAATGGAAGTAACAACGGATCAGTTGATAAGGCATGTTAGGAAGACAGACCGGTTTTGGGATTTCATATTTTAGGGTTCAAGAGAGGTGGGATTGGTTGTTTCTTGAGGTTATGAGTTAATTATCTTTAAGGTAGGGAATTATGTTGGGTTGCTCATCTTGGGAACCATTATGAGTTCAAGTGGTGGAGGTGTCGCTTCGGAGGTCGGGATGTCAGGATGGTAAGGAATGATTTTGAGGACGAAATCGAATTTAAGTGGGGGAGAGTTGTAATATCCCAATTTTTTTTATTTGTAGTCCCTAGGAATGGAAGGGTAAATTCTTGAAGAGCCTAAGGGCTAAATTTTAAGTTTGGAATCAGGAAGAGCACGTTGCATGTACATAAGGGTACGTTGAGCATACTAGGGTACGCCCTAGTACGCTGGGCGTACTCATAATAGGAGGAAGCCCTAATGTCTTGGCTTGGGGGCTATATAATCATCCTTAAGACTCATTTCTCTCCTCCTTCTCAGCCTCCATCTTCCAAAAACGTCCTTAAACCCTAGTTCTTGTGTAAGAGTGTGAGTTGGTGGGTATTTTGAGCTCTTTAAGGTAAAGGCATTGCACCAAGAAGTTGGAGAAGAAGATTGGCTTGAAGATCTGAAGTTGGTGTGTGTTCTAGAAGCTCCAAGAGGTAAAAAGTTTGGAACTTTATTTTTGTATGAGTTAGATCTAGTCATTTTAGCTTCATGGAAGCATTTTTGTCCAAAAAGTCCCAAAATGATGCATGTCATGTTTTGGACGAGATGAGTTGTCCTTTCAGGCTCTTGAAGGGGTTATAAGTGTTAAAAAAGGGGTCCTAATGACTTAAGGTGTCCCATGAATGCATTAGGAAGGTCTTAATGGATTAAGACCTTAGATTAAGAGTTTTATGGACGTCCAAAGTGATAAAGTTCGAGACTTTATGAGTCCTAGGAATATTTGGTCGATGGATATGAAGTTTAGGCTTAAGTGCTTAAGCCATTAAGCACTTATGAGAGTTTT